CCTGAGGGATGATCATATTCAACCAAAGCTTCTAACAGCTTGTACCCGCTCCTAGTCGAATAAGAACCACTCGTTGTGAAACCCCATCTGAGTGTATCGTCAACCATCAATGATGGTTTCAAAAGTGAAATCCGTTGAGCATCCTCTGCCGTAAAAGTTTGATGTAATAAAGTTGTATTCCACTGATTCGAACCCGGAAGGAAAATCTAATTACATAGTTAAATTTCCGTTTCTTCTAAAGTTTTTTAAAGGACGATAACAGACCAAAAGAAAAGAATATTATTAATACCTAATTTATATTCCTAATTGGAATGCAATTTGGTTAAAAACTTTCTTCTTGGGGTCAAATTTTCAAAACTTAAAAGAGAAAGTTCATAATATTCTGTAGACTTTGCATAATTAAAGTCAAACTTTGGATGCGTGAAAGAGAGAAAGATAAACCGTCCAATTTTATCTGGAGTGTTTTTGTTGGCCACTTGGATGATCAGGATGACTTCAGAGAATTGTGGAGGTTTCTCAAATTTTCAAAGCATGAAGGCGGTTTGGGTCAAAGGTGCAGATGTTTGACTTTCTTATTAAAGTTTTAAATTTAGAAAACAGGAAATTTAACTCGTTTATTGACTGGGTAACATATTCTTTTTTTTTTTGGTCTAAGGTAACAGGATTCTGTTTTTATTTTTACTCAATTGTTTTTATTAAACGTTTTTCCTTTTATTTTGGTTAATAATCTAGTATAAAGTGATATTTATGATATATGGATTAGATGACTGAAATTTAGATATTTTCAAAACTATTTCCGTGAATCTATCTTATATTTATGAAGTTATATTTCCAAAAAAACTGCTCTAAAATCATTTCCAGATCTTTTGTATATGAAACTTTTTTAGAAAAACATTAATCGATTCAATATTTGTCCACAGCGAGTCTTAGATATTTTGTTTTCATTGTTTTATTAATTAAATATACCAATATCATCTGTGGGTAAATATTTTTATAACATTAGATTCCACTTGTCAGTTCTCCTATATATATACATATGATCCGTGATGTTTTAAACATGATCTATACTGTGATAACAACAATCAATAGTATTTTTAATTAAAATTACTTATATTATGGTATTTTCGCAAATTTCCTAATTATGTTAAAGACCAACTTATAGTTTGGATTCAAATTTTATTTTCTCCAGAATTTTCTACTTTAGATAAGTAACTGATTATATATTTGCAAGAAAAAGATAAAATATTATGAAAAAATAGTTTGTAGTTTATACGTTTTGTATCTTCTCGTAGCAGTGTACACTTAATTCGAACGACTTTGCCTGAAAAACGTGGCATCTGGCCTATTAGCTTATAGCCTAAGTGATGTCTGTGACATAGTTTATAAAAAGAGCAAAGCTGCATGTGAACTTTGAAGCTTTTACCTTCCTTGGTTCACGTTAAGCTCATATATATTAAAGGTTTCTCCAACTTGTTGCCTTGGTTCTATTTATTTCAAATGCAGGTATATATTTGTTTGCATGTGAACAAACCAAATTATTTAACATCTTCTTACCAAATATTTTCTTTTCTTACATATGTATATTTCCTCGATTTGTTTTGTATCATAGTTACAGAAAAGTCCAATATCATTTTAAATAATAATTAATGTAATTTTGTTTTGTTTCATTAAAAAGAATCATTTGCAGTTTCAATATCAACTTCTACGTAACGGAAACTCCGACTTTTTTTTCTTTCCATTTGGCACCACCTACTAATTAGAGAAAGGATTGCAGAGTTTGGAACGAGAAATGACATTAAAGATATTTACGTCCATTTTTGTTTATATGTATGAAAAATATATATACATATAGGTATATATAATGGAGTGGGTAACACAAACGCTAAATTGTTTTTTCATTATTGAATTAAGGTGTTCAAGATATCATACTAACGATACTTATTTGATTCGTAAGATAGATATCTACAATTAATTATATTTGTATATAAAAGTAGTGAACCAGTTCATGTTTACAGATAGAAACCGTGATTGAATGAGAAGTGGAATGGAATGATGATGTTTGCATTTATTTTTTCTCTTGTGGTACCTTTCTTCGTGACAACCAAGAGGTGTTGAGAAAAGCTGATTCCAACAACGCTCAGGAACATTGTAGATTAGTTGAATTAAATTATAAGAAATATGAATGTACCAAAGAAAGTAAGCAATTGCTATGATTTTAGGAAGGGGGCTACACAAATATTTCATTTAAATTATTGACCCACTTAGCAAGTACTCATACTCATACATGATGTATTTATGATATTAATATCATTGGTTGGCACTAGGGCTGGGCACTATTACTTGATACCCGGTTCATACTTGCTACTTGACTCGGTTTGGTTTGAAAAAACAAGTACTTGGCATAAACAAGTCGAGTAACAAGTAAACAAATTTTATTACTCGTAAGTACAAGTCAAGTATCAAATCTATTTTTATTTTTAATTACTTGACTTGTTACTTGATTTGTTACTTGGTTCGTTA